ATCATGCACTCCGAAGATCTGATCTAAAGACAGCTTTGCATTAGTAAGCTTTGTTCACACAAATAAATGCTTTCAGGATCTGTTCTGAAGATTAGATACAAGAGCAAAACTCTAGGACAAGAGAATGGCTTGAGGATTGCTAGGAGGTAAAGAGAGAAATTCTGTTAGGGATGAATTTATGAAGCTAGAAAAAGCATTAGGAGGGCAAGAAGACAGGAGCTGCCCTGTGTGTAAGAGGCAGCCCCAGTGAAGGTACCAGGATAGCCATGTGTGATTCACAGAGCACAGTCAGCTTGCACTGAGAGTGGCTGGGGAGAAGCTGACTACACAGAAGTCCTATCCAAATTCAAAAAAAAGCAAGGGAAGGTAACCTCAGTGTTGCAAATGTTCAGCATGATGCTGAGCCTTTGAGAAAGCACTGGGAAGGAACGATGGTCACAATGATGCTGGTTGACTCCCATCAGTTAGGAAGAGTGTTGCTAATTATAATAACATCTGAAAATGTCATAAAGAGAAAGATCTTTGGCCATGAGAGAGACCGTGTGATAACAAGCCCAGGGCTTTTTGCAGAGGATGTCATTCAGCTGCTGTGGAAGATATCTCTTTCTGACAGAAACATGGACAGGGAGCTCTAGAGAAGCGGAAAATGAGTTGCTGTTTGGAGACCAAAGTGAGGCAAAATGATTATAACATGGCCAGGGAATGGTAGGGACATGACTAAAGACATGAAGCGAGTCTTCTAGCTAAGATTAAATAAGCATGTTCCATAGCTCTTGTGCAGTGAAATCTCTTCTGCTGAGAGTTGTTTGTCTGAAAGGTGGTTATAATGCTGTCCAGGGAGATTTTAGTGTTAAAAGAGATTTTTTTTTCCCAGCAGTTAGCTGTAGCACAACAACCTGGGCTCAGCTCCAGGCCAGTTCTTTTCCTATTGCTCATCCTAGCAGATTCTGAAAGTCTAATTAGCAATACAGGCTTTGGCCCTTTTGTTGGCATAATGATGTTGTGACCTTTAGTAGCCCTTTGTATCCTTCTAGTAACCCCCGTGCAGCCTAGAGGCTTTCCAAGAGCCTGAGCATTTGGGAAAGCAGCAGAAAACCCTCTTGCCGGTGCTCCGGATCTCAGCTCCTTCCTGTAGGAGTTTTGGCACCGTGCGTGGAACAGGAGTGAAAAGCTTTGCAAGCCCTGCAGGATTTGCAGGCGGCTGACTGCAAACAGGTCTGCAAGGTGAGAAAGGTTTTATTTTTATACTGCTGCTCTTTGAAGTTAAATTCCTTTGAGGTGATTTGTCCTGGAGATTAGCAATAAAAAGTAGTTGAGTCTTTGACTGGCACAGAGACATTTTTACAGTGAATTACCGTATCATAGGGCTCTGAAGTAGGTCCCATGCAATAAAACCATCTACTTCACTGTTTTCACTGTGACTGTATGCATACTTCGACCTACACTTATTTGTCATTTTCTCGTCACACAACACACTGTCTCCCAAAGCCTCATCAGCTGCATTTAAAGAATTATTCTGGACCTTTTACAAAATTCCTGACACGCAAACCCAGTCCCCAGAGGACTGT